CAGGAGAATCAAGGGCTCTGTAGATACTGGTGGGATGTGGAGAGAGACAGTAGGAACTTAGGAAGAAGTTATCAGGAGTCTGTAAAGCTCTATGCACTCAAAGAATGTTTTCACTTACACATAGAACTTTCCTTAGATCTCTGATGATCTCACCATGTGGACTGAGTGTGTCTATGCTCCTCAGTGTCTCTGTGAGCATAATGATACTGCACTAACTGTTGGGATCAGGAAAGATGACTCCCAGCACTTCATTTAGGAACATGGAGCCTGAGGTGATAGTTCAGTGAAACTGGGGTTTCTACGCATTAACCTGTAGGGAGTGTAATAGTGCTGGTTGTGGCCTTTGGAACCAGAGTTACTGGAATTTCCCGGCTTCTCCCTGTAAGTCTTCCTACAGGGGGCTTGTCAACTATTGGCTTTGGTGTCTTCCTGGCAGGATCCCCTCCAAGCAAAGACCTGGTCCTTTGCAAGTCCTTATCCATCCATCTAGCTCTCCTCAAAGGGCAGCAACAAAAACATCCTGTGAGTGGGCAGCAGAGAAGGCTGCAAAGTGGTGCTTAGCAATTTGGCGAAGGTGGGAATTGAGGAAGCTGCTCCTCAGAGTTCCCGCCTTCCCCAGGAGGTCTGAGAGACGCTGAGCAGTCTCTCCAAGACTCTGAAGCCAAGCAGAGCAGGCAGTTGGCTTTTCTTGCCTTTATGGGTGACGAGGGAAAATGATGCATGGCTTTTAGCTGATGAGTCTATTTTGCAAGACTGTTAGCGTCTGCCTGCTCTGTACCGCCGGTTGTGTCAGGAGACCAGCCTAAGTTAGAGGCATGCAGGCACCAGAATGCCTGGCATATCTACAGCAAAAACGTGAGGAAAAGACTACATTTTGTCTCTCCCATCAGCACCTGCCACTTCTTAAAAGCACCATGAAATAAAAGACATCTCCGTGTGGAAGTGAACCTCAGGGGGCCTCTGAGAATGCATTTGTTTGTTTTTCTAAACCACTGGCATTGCAAGTTGGAGCTGAGGGCTGGAGAGGCCACACTTGGTGCTTGATGTACAGAGACATGGGAAACCCAATGAGCCAGAATTGTCCCCACAGGGGACCAAGAGGCCTCAGGCATGGTCGAGGTTTTTGCCGTTTCCACTCAGCCCTGTCCTAACTCCTGCTGGGGCCAAAGAGGAAGCTGAATAAATTAGTGCAAACTCCAAATGTTTCAAAGGGCTATGGGATTGGTAAGGAAAAATCAATCAGTTCCTATGTCTTTCCCTTTCTTTCCTTCCTTCCTTCTTTCTTTCTTTCTTGGCACACCAGCAATAACTTATTCCTTCTCTTCCTCTGACTTCTGATTTGAATTTGAGTTTTCAATGTTCATCTTGGGATGCACTGTCTCCTGTATTGTCCTCTAACTTGGAGTTCAACTCGGGGAATTGGAATATCTCCGGAACTCCCTAACCAAGCCGCAAATGCTGACCCAGCAGAGCCCAGGAAGATGTTGGATGATGCAGAGTCTAGCTTCTCCCACAGACTGCAGGGTAGCTCAGGCTGCCTGAAATGATTCCACCCACATTGGCCACTGCTGCCACTGACATCATCTTGGCTGCTGTGGAAGAGGCTGTGGGATTCCTGTCCCAGTGAAGCTCATGGCGTCCAGCACTGTGGGCACAACAGCCTCAGCCACAGCTCTCCTGATCACAGCACTGGCCACTTGTATCAACATGGTGAGGCGATTTCTCAGCCTGCTTTCTTATACAATACAGAACAAATTGCCTAGGGGTGGCACTGCCCACAGTGGGATGGGCCCTCTCACATCACTCAACAATCAAGAAAATGCCCCACAGATGTGACCACAAGCCAGCCCAACAGAGGAAATTCCCCAACTGAGGCTTCCTCGACCCAATCACTTAGTGGATTCATAACACAGCAGCATTATTGGGAGTGGTAAAAAATAGTGGTCTTTGGAGGGAGCCGGTTGCTGGGGACGTGCCCTTGGGGCTATGTCTGGCCTTCTTCCCTTTTTGTCATAACCCTACCCGCTGCTTCCTGGCAACCGTGATGCAAACTGCTCTGGGCTGTTATGTCTTTCCGGCCATAATGGGCTGACATGACTAAAATCATGACCTTAAAGAAGTCCCTCCTCATTTAGGCTGTTTCTGTCAGATATTTTATTTTTTAATTTTTAAAAAAATATTTATTATTTTTATTTTATGTATATGAATGTATTGCCTGCATGTATGTAAGTACACCCGTGTCATGCAATTTCTACGGAGGACAGAAGAGGCCATTGGATCCCCTGGAACTGGAGTTACAGACAGTTGTTAGCCACCATATGGGTGCTGGAATTTGAACCCAGGTCTTCTGCAAGAATAGCCAGTGTTCTTAACCTCTGAGCCATCTCTCTAGTCCTCTGTTAGATATTTTAATTCACCTAAGCAGCACACAGGCCTAGAAAACTCTTCAAATATAGGTAATGAAATCAGATGTGTATATGTGTTTCTACCATCGAGATATAATCACAGTTACCATTTTCTGGTTTTCATTTCAGTTAAATAAAACAAAATATTTTATGCAAAAATAAAAATAATACATGTATATGAGAGGGCTGTGATTCTAATAAAGTTATTGAATCATCAAGTATATTCTGTGCTCAGAGGACATCTCCAGTAGAAACAAAATGCATGTTCAATCATCAAAGGCTTGCGTCTAGCCTTCCCATGTTCCTTGTATGGGAAGCTACATCTATGTTTCAGTCATCAGTTAGAAAAAGGAAACTTTATTGAGTGACTGCTACATTCCAGGCTTGTATGGTGGATGTTCACCAAAGACAAAGACGCTGTGGGCAGGGCAGGGGGAGGGGCAGCTACGGTGTTTTTATCCTGTATGTTTTCAGCCTATTTCTCTGACTCTTAGGGTACTGGCCCAAAGAAATTCTCTTTTTTTTGGGGCCAACTCTATTGCTTTTCCCTTCAGGAAAGGATTAGAGAGAATTCTCTGCACTGCAATTCTTCTTTTTATAAATTTATTGAATTTTTGTGTATTTCATACATAAAATCATCTTTATACCCCTCCCCCTTTGACCCCTCCAATAGCTCCCTCACTGGAGTTCATACATTCTGTTATTTGTATTAAGGCCTGGTATGTACAGTTAGTGTCCCCAGATATCCCTCAGTGCGAGTCCATTCACTGGGTTGAGTCAGCCTATCTAGAGTCTCTCCTTTCAAGAAGATCAGCTCTTCCTCGCCCAGCAGTAATCAGTTGCCAATGATTCTTTGACTAAGATTGGGGCTTGCTGTTCATTTCCACAGTTCTGTGCTGGGTTTTTGTCTGCCTAAGTTTGCACAGGTCTTGTGCATGCTGACACAATTGCTGTAGGTTTGTATGAGAAGGGCCCCAGGTGCCTGTAGGACTATTTCCGTATGGTCATGCCCCTCCTCCTTGGCTCTTACAATCTTTCCGCCCCCTCATCCGCAATGGTTCCTGAGCTCTGGGTGGGTGGACCTCAATATAGGAGTCCTGTCCAAGGACTCACACTCTGCAGACTTTTATTCTCTGCATTTTGGCCATTTGTGACCTTTTGTGTTCCTGGCCCTCTGTTGCATGGAGGAAGTGTCATTGATGAGAACTGAAAGATGCATTAGTGTTCTCTTCCTCCCTTGTTCTACGCTCCCAGAGTCTTAGGTCTGCATTGCAGTTTTAAGTGACATTTTCCCTCCTTTAGAAAGCAAATGGGAGAACCGAGCTAGATTGAGACTCCTCTACTAATTTCCGGGGAAGTTTATAGGAACTATTCCAGAGAGAGCAAGAAGTCTGTGGTGGACTGGGCAACATGACAGTAGACACAGCCTTCCTGGGAGGGAAGTGGGCATGGTGTAAGTGGTGTGGATCACGGGGCAACCGCTTCACTATTCCAAAGCTTTTAGAAAGAGAAAGAAAGGGCAGAGGGGATGGCTCAGTGGGTAAAGCACTTGTGAACATGTTGTGAACCTGAGTTCAAATCTCCAGAACTCCTGTAAAACTGCATGTGATAGCATGCCTCTATGATCTACCTTGTGTTTCTGTGGCGAGAAGAGAAGGAGAGAGAGAGACCGGGGAATCCCTGGAAGCTAGTGGACCAGCTAGCCTGGTGTATGCAGCGGTAAACAACAAAGATGAGACTTGTCCCAAGCAAGGGGGGAGGTAAAGACTGATGCCCAAGGTTGTCCTCTAACCTCTACATGTGCAAGGCAGCACACATGTGCCTGCACACACATACATGCACACACATATGCACATGTACCATGTAAATAAAATAAATAATTTTTGAAGGAGTTTGGAAGGGTGTATGTGTACGGCACACACATACAAGTGCAAGATGTGTGCATGTAACAATAAGAACATCTCATGACGCTGTTTAGGTGAGAAGGTGTGAGCCCCTGATCTTTCCTTTTTATCACAGAGACACAAGGGCATCAATGACACCAAGGGGGGCACCCACCCCATCTTCCATCCCGGGAATGCACAGTGCCACCACTCTGCTAGTAGTGGTGACAGGCATGGGTCCTGGTGAAGGGCTCGGCAATAGAACTCTGTAGTTCACAGGGCTGCCCTCTTGCAAGATCTCATAGGCCCCTGGTTTTGTTACAAAAGCTGAGTTTCTTTCCCCACCAAATTGCAAATGAAGGCAAAATAAGCTAGTTTGACTTTGCTTCCACCCCATGTAATTCCCATTCGCCTTCTTTTTGGTTCCATTTTCCAGCCTGGGACATGGGGACTGTCTGACCTATTAAAACAAAACCGAGAACCATGGCAATTACTAGCTAATTTTAGACCTCAAACTACTTTTCTGCCAATGATCTGGTCATTTTAAACTGAGGTTTTGGAAGTGTTTAGCTAATTGTAGCTGCAATTGACTTTCAGCAAGTCACACAGTACACAAGACGCCTGAGCCAAACTGGCCTGTGACAGGGTCCTGTTAGGGGAGAACCTGTTCTGGCAGTGTTCATGGACAAAAGGCAAATATGTCATTTCTTACAGCCTGTGGTGATTTCGTAGGGAGAGTTGAGTCTGGCATCTCCGCAGGGGGACGTGCTCACATAGAGATGGAAGAGGATGTTTTCTCGCAGCCTATAGCCGCCCTCCTTTAAACGCACGAATATGGATCTCTCGGAGTCCTCGCGCCGCTTGCTAGGGACACAAAGAGGATGCAGGTCACTTACGATGAACCAAATGGAAATAATCCAACAGACCAATGCTTTTGTCCTGTTTGGTGGTGTAGGGAGTTCCACAATTTTTACCCTTTTCACTTTCACATATGGTGTTTGCCACTTGCACAAACACTCAGAGATGGATTACAATGAAACTACATGAAAACAAATACAATCAGCAGAAATACCCCCATTTCAACCCTCCCTTAATATTCACATTTTAGCATTTAGCTCTCTCTCTCTCTCTCTCTCTCTCTCTCTCTCTCACACACACACACACACACACCCTTTCACCATGGTTTGCCTATTTAACGCGCATATATATATATATATATATATATGTGCACACGTGCTCAAGTATGTGTACACGTGTGTGGGTGTATAAGCGTGAGTCTTAGGAGTTGTTCCTTAGGCACTGTCCACCTTGTTTTTGAGTCAGGGTCTCTCACTGGCCTGGAGCTCATCAAGTAGGCTAGGGTGACCAGTGAGCCCCAGGGATCTGCCTGTCACTTCCCCAGTTCTGGGATGACAAGCATGTGCCATCATACCTGGCTTGTTTTTAAACATGAGTTGTGAGGATCACACTTAGGCTCCCTCACTTTACCAACTGAGCTATCTCTCCAGCCTCTATGTTTTATCTTTATCTTTTTTTTTAATAACCCAGTATCTATCATTTATAAAACCATAATCCTTTGTGTTTGCAAACCCCCATTCATGTAATGTCCTAGAGCGCTACTGACTAAAGTGTCCTTAGTGGCATTCAGCGTGTGAAGTAGAGGGAAAAGGGACTTGAAACAGGGAGCTGAACCTGGGTACCAGCAGACTAGCTAAGAACAGTAAATAATGCAGAATTTGTTTTCCTTCTCATCCAATCAAGATCCAGGGTAGATCTAGAAAACACCAGTCTCCTAGAGTTATACATTCCCTTTCCTTCAGAAAAACCTCCCACATAGCCCTTAACCCCAAATCTGAGCAGCCCTGCCTCCTCAGGGTGGGGCGGCACACAGGGGGCGGCACACAGTGGGCACTCAACAACTGAGGCTGCAATTCCTGTCCTGCTTTCTCTCCCCCTGGTCTGCTTCCTGCCAGTCCTGCTGTTTCTACACATGCTGCCCCATCAGTGATGGATTCTGTGTTGTAGGGTTCTGATATCTCACAGGCCACAGAATGGACATTGTCTCTCCAGGAAACCCTTGAGGCTACTAACAACTTCTGGGCTACCTTCTGCCCTTCCTGTGCTCAAGCACATCCTTCCAAGACTTAAGAACCCTCTCCTGTAGCCCTGGGAGCAAATGTACCCCATCTGGGTCCTCAGTGCAGAGCCAGACTCCTCCCAAGGGTAAATCTCACTCGTTCTCACTGTCTTTTCACAGCCATTGCTGGTCCCCTCCTGGCAGGACAGGGATGTGGTGTGGCTGTCTTTGAATCCTTCCCAGGTGTCTGTGCAGCACCAGGAATGCAGCCAGCTCTGGGCAAATGTTGGCTGGATTGTCTTCTATGACACAAACAGGAGGTAGGAGTTCTGGGAAGCCTTTCCAACTGAGCAGTTGGATATTCAGAAGAAATCCTTCTCCACATATTGAGAGATTTCTGATTCCCTTCCCCTCTGCTCAACCCCTCCGCAGGCCTCCTGGAACTGATAGGGCAACACATCATGCTGCCATGACCGTTCAGAGGCTCAGATAAAAATTAATTGAGTGTATTAAGGTATTGCTTTTATGTGAATCTGTTTGGCATCTATTTGGGCCTTTCTCCCCTTTGTGTGGTTTCTGCACATGCTAACGGGTATGTGAATGAGTCACTCGCTAAAGCCCCCCTTGAGATGCCATTATTAGTGGGTTTGAGGATCCCTGTGTTAACGAGTAAGATAGGGCAGCTGAAAGATGCAAGGGAGGGACCTTCCGGCAAAGAGACCAACGGCAATTAAACCATCAGGACTAAACGGCTCAGCTCAGGGATTCATATGGAGTCACATGCTCAAATCCACTCATGTTTCTGCTTGAGTTTAATGTGTTACAGAGATGCCAGATCAGGTGACAGCCTGCCTCTTCCTGATGACTGCCACGAGGACACCAGAAATTCCAACATCTGACATAGTTCTTAGGACCTGTCGCGTCTGAGAACCCTTACTAAAATGCCTAAGATGGACTGGGAGATAGGTCAGTTGGTAAACGGCTTGCTTTGGCAAGCATGAGGACCTGAGTTGGATTCCTAGAATCCATGTTAAGAAAGTCCGAGCTTGGTGGCATGCACTGGGGACCCTAGTGCACTGGGGATGCAGAGGCAGGCTGATCCCTGTGGCTCACTGGCCAGCCAGCCTAGCCTACCTGGGGAGTATCAGGACAGCAAAGGACCTGTCTCAAGATGAACAAGGCATATGGCTTCTGAGGGAAGTCAGCTGAGGTTGTTCTCTGGCATCCACATGCACACAGACACAGCTGCACACACACCTGCACACACATGCATGCACAAACAAAATGCTTATGTAAGGGGATGGAGTCAGGAAAAGGTGGTATCTTGAAACCTGTCCATGGTCATTTTAGTCACATTTCCTGATTGAAAGTCTAGAAGTCTGGAGAGTGGAACACATTTGGGAATGTGAGAACCGAGGCCAGGACAGGGTTACCTCAATGGGGAAGGCAAGGCCTAGAAAACCCTGAGCACCTGTAAGAAGATGGCCACTGTATTTTGTAACAGCTGTTTGCCTTTGACTTGCCCAGTGGGAACAGAGCCTGTTATCTGGAGTCAGTCAGAAAGTAAAATGACAGTCCATTTATGAGCCTGGTGCTTGAGAGACACTGACTAATCTTGCAGAAACCTCTGAGTATCTAAGACAATTCGAGAGATTCTCAAAACCAAACTAACAAGGGAGGAGAGGGGACTCTGTTCCCTCTGCCGAAATGACTGAACCGTGAGCTCTGTTTGAAGTGGACACAATTCTGTCAGAACTGAGTGGAGGTTGTCAATGCCAACCCGGCACTTTCCCATGGCTAAAATGAAAGTTTCCCAGAGAGCAAGTGCATCGATCCAAGTCACCTCACATTGTACCGAACACTCTTAATTCAATCAGTGGAATTATGGTTCCAGAGAGAGCAATAACTGTCATTTCCCAAGAGAGTGAAGTCGTTTCCTTTCTTCTCTTCCTTCCCCTTCCCACGTGGCTGTTCTTTTTAAGAGAAAACCTCTGAGGTGTCTATCTGGTCCTAGAACTGGATTGTCCCCTTGTCCCACTGACATTTATAGTTTGAAAGTGGACAGCGTGCAAGATCCAGGGACAGCTGTGCCTTATGGTCTTGCTGGCATCTGAGCTTCATAGAAAGCTGTGGTTTCTTTTTTTTTGTGGAATGTTGTTGTGGTCCCTGAATATTTTAACTGAAAAATAATGAGAAGGAATGAGCTGTGACAAGGTGTGTGTTTGTACCTAACTTACAGGCAGACAAGATGTTTTTTTGGAGAGAGATGTTGAATAATGCAGACATCTGGTAATTTAACACTTCACTGTCTGTGTGGCACTCAAAGGGCGCCCCAAGTCTGGGATGCTGTCTAGTGCACTGTCATTCCAACTGTGTTCAAGATCTGCCAAGATGGGGGAACAGCATGTTCTGAGCTGGTTGTGGGCCTCCTTTCTCTTGCCTGGATTCTCACCAGTTGAAGCATGCCAGAACACATGAAAGAGCTGCAGCCTGGGAGACAGTCCAGCCCATGTCAGGGCCCCCTTTACCTTAAGTGCAGTTCCAGCTGAGCATAGAGGAAGTGAAGAAATGCCCGCCTGGTCACAATCTCAGCATGGCAGTCGTTGACAACCAGCCCCTGGTCGCTGATGTGCTCACCGCTAATGCACTTGGTCCCAGAAGATAGGACGATGACCTGTGCTTGTCTGGTGTCCAAGCCTAGGGGACACAGAGAGTGGTCAGAACAGCTTGGGCTTTGAGGACCCCACTGCAGGGGCCCTTTCCAACCTTCTTGTACATAATAGCCTTGACATTTATCTGGCTGACACGCATGACAATGTTAATTCTCATTGTCCACTTGACGAGATTGAAAATTACCTAGGAGACTTATGAGGCACACCTGTAGGTGTGTCTGTGAGGCTCAACTCATGGCTGAGGACCAACTGAGGACAAGCCCCACCTGGACGTGGATGGCACCACCCCTCAGGATGGGGACCCTTAAGGATTAAGAGGGAATAAAGGAAAAAAAAATAGAGTACCAATACACTGGACATGAAGACTTTAATTTATCTTTTCATAGGAGAGGAATTGAGGAAAGATTGATATGGACCTGCCAACTGAGGACTGACAGGGCCATTCCAAGCCTGTTCCTGGAGGAGAAGATAGATGACTATAAGGTTTCCTGCTGAGGCTTTAAAAAGAAGAGGATGGTCTCTTAACCATGTGTGTGCCATAACAGCCTAAATTCTACCCCTAAAAGCTCAGCCACAGGTACCTGCCCTCCTAAGTGGCAGTTGCATATTCACTCAAAGATTCACTGATGGGGGGGGGCTTATGTGTAGGAGGGGATGAAGAAGTAAGAAGGGCCCCTAAGTTGGGGCTCCATTCTGCAGATACACCTGTATTTGCTATGGAGAGGTAGTCCAAGCTGTGGTTTGAATGTGAAATATTTCCCCATAGGCTCATGTGTTTGAACAGTGGGTCTCCGGATGGCAGTTTGGAAAGGTTGTAGAACCTTTAGGAGGTGGAGCTTTATTGGAGGAAGTGGCTCACTGAGGGAAGGAACTGGGCACCCCTTCCTGTTTACCCTCTGCCCCCCTGACTGCTGGTGCAATGTGACCAGCCATCTCATGCTGTTGTACATTCCCATCATGATGGCCCACAGCCCAGGGAACTTTAAGCCCAAATAAACCCTTCTTCCCTTAAGTTTCTTCTTGTCAGGTATTTCTTCACAGTAGTGAGAAGAGTAACGAGCACAGAAGGTATGGGGGAGATGCCTGTGCATGAGGGGTCTACATGCACTGGCTTCTCAGCTTCAGCTCTCAGGACTCAGGAGAGTAGCAGAATCCCAATGGCATCATCCCCTCACTTTCTACTCTAAATGCACTTTCCTTTCTAAGTCTTGCAGAACCCAACACTTTGCTCTGCTGAATGCATGCATGTGAGCCTTGTGTGGATGCATGCCTTTGGGAGTCCTTCACTTCAATGGAGGTCTACTCTGAAGTTGGAGCCAGTCTCTCAATCTATGTAAATTAAAGCCCAGTGGCCCGGGATGCTCCATGGTATGTGATGTTGCACAGACTTAACTCATGACTCAAGAACTCTGGTGAAAAGCAGAGCACGCTGTCAGGCCACAAAGGTGTGAGTGGGCCCAGCTCAGAACACATTCCTGTCTACACTCGAATTTCACAGGCTGGTGCAGGGGTGCCTGATGGAGCGTCCCTCCTGGGGTTATTTCTGTTCAGGGATGGGCACCTCATCAGCAGTGAGTTTCAAGAGTGACCAGTTCCACCTGAGGCCACTGTGGTTGGCCGTAGCCTCGGGAGGAACTTTGTGCTGTGCTCTGCTGTCTGCTCAGGATCTGGGCTGGCTTTGGTTTCAGTCCTAGTGCAATAGCCATGCCCAGAAGACAGCATTGACGGGTGCTGTTCTCCATCATCCGGCTTGTACAAAGGGCATTTCTATGTAAGTATATGCTGTGATTGAACATACCCCCCACAGTCTCTGCCCTTAGTGTTCTTGCCTTCCCTCTCCCATTAGTCCCTTGTTCCTCTAGTCAAGTTTGCTTCTATTTTTATGTCATACACCCATACATGATTCTGTGTATCTATATAGAATCGCAGCAGGACAGGGCTTCCTCCTCTCACAGCCAGCGCCTTCCATGTCTGAAAGGCCCAGGCTGTGGGGTGTGTAGAGGCATCGAAGGGCAGCCCCAAGCTAACTCCTTCATTCCTGGTCCATGTAGGGGGTCACATGACAGTTGATCTTTGGGCTTATAAAAACCTTGAAAGGCCTGTATTTTTAAGAAATAATTTCTAGAACTCTAAAGCTGGGTTTCTGCTTGCTTCTGGACGTATGTGACCAACTGGAAGGATTCTATCAGCTCCAGTGTGATTGCCAGAGACAAACTTTCAAAGTATATCTAGTTATTATTCCTATTATTTAAATGCTTGAATACATAAGAACAGAGTTGAGTCCAAACTTAACAATAGGCCACTTAAACAATTTTTCTGAGGGGTCGGGTAGATGATTCAGTGAGTAAAGTACTTGCCAAGCAGGCTTGATAACTTGAGTTTGAATCCCCAGAGCACATGTAAAGCCAGACACAGCAGCATGCATCTGTAACCTCATGGAAGCTCATGGGCTAACTAGCCTACTGTACACAGGGCCTAACAGTAAGAACCTGGCCTCAAGCACAGTGGAAAATGAAGACAGTTGAGGGTGTCCTCTGACCTTCACATGTACACCATGAACATCGCGCATATGAACACCCATGCACATACACATCACACATACACACACACCACACATACACACACACACACACACACACACACACGCCTCTGAATAATCAGTTCCTACCCCATAAAATGAGGGCTATTGTCTTACCCACTCTGCTTAACAGCCTCTGAGTTTTCACTTTTTTCTTTGATTGGCTCAATTGTTAGGAGTTGACAGCTTATACCAACATGAAAAAGGCATTGGGTATTTCTTGATTTCCTTCTTTTTTTGAGGTGGGGGTCTCTCTGGAGTCTCAGCTGGCCTGGGGCTCACTATGTAGCCTAGGTCACACAGAATTCCACCTGTTTCTGCCTCCTGAGTGCTGGGACTAAAGGTGTACGCCACCAGGTCAGGCTCATGATTTACTTTTCACAAGATAACGCTCATTTGATCATAGCTAAAGGAGCCTTGGCAACAAAAATGGCTCTCTGGAAACCTTGAGAACAAGCTCCAAACTTAAGGTCTTTAAAATACATTAAGGATCACCTTTGTTTGAGGTGATCCCAGAAGACCATAAGTCAGTTTATGCCTTCTCCTGCTCTGATGGATTCAAGTGTGAATATACGTTTTCTTCTTACTTAGATGGGGAATTACTTGAGGGCAGAAACCAGAATTTCCACAGTCTTTTAAGAAGGGACTCCCCAGGAGTCTCTGTAATTATACAGATTGTTCAACGTAAGTCAGTCCCTATTGCTGAGTCCAAAGCAAATCCAATTTTCTAGGTCCTGCAGCCGAAGTCAAGGGGGTGATGTTGGGACACTCATTAACGCTGCTTTATGTTTGAGTACACTGCTGTTTGTTTGCTGAGTTTTGGATTCTGTGTTGTATGTGGTCAGTGCCAAGTGATGACTTAGCAGCAGTTTCTACTGGACTCTTATCAAATTCTGTAATAAATATATGTATGAACCATTTCTTTAAAGAGATGATATGTAAATTGGGGAGCCCAGTGGAGCAGACCTTCCATTTTTAATAAGATTTATTTCTCCAAGTGCAAACAGTGTTGAGAACCTCTAAGTACTTGATACATACTCATTCTTCTAACTTGTAAATGTCTCTCTTGAGAACTAAATTCTGAAGCCTGAGTGACATTTGCCCCATCTTCTTGCCCCTCTGCCCAGCTTGGGTCTTTGTGGGATAAAAAGGGGGCCAGAGTGGGAGGAAAGGGGAGAATAAGTAGCTGCAAGAGAACAGAGGGCGCTGAGGAGTGGGGTGAAGGATGAGGAGGCTCCTGTGTAGGTATTTGGCTGCAGCTGGCAGAGGGTTGACTTACTGCTGCAAGTCTCTGCAGTAGCTGACTGTGCAGCCTCCTCTTGTCCCTCTGCGGCGCTCCTTAGCTAGGTATGGAGCCTGCCCTTTCCTTCTTCCCTCAGCAAAGCCATCCCTGCATGTCCACTGCCTCCGACCTACTTCATTGCTTGTCTGGATTCTGGTGATTTCCAGAAAGGACTCAGGTGTACAGGTCACACTGTCTTACATGATCCCCTGGCAGTGGGATCTGGCTTCTTGGTGATCTCTTGATGACATGTTTAGCCCTCAAGTCAGTAGCTATACTGCTTTGAGAAAAGCAAAAAATAGAATACAAGCAAAGCCCGCCTGCTGTCTTCCTCCATGAAAAGCTGCAAACAGCTCCACAGGTACCTGTCACTCTTTCCTTGGGTCCTGGAATCCTCTTGGCTCAGTTGTTCCCTAGGTGGGCTGCCTTCCGCTTGGGGGTCTTGGAGGTGTTGCTGACAGTTGTTTGTCAGCAGGAGCCAAAGTTACAGGGAGGAATGCAAGCCAGCCAGTCACTCACCTCTCCCAGGGTACCTGGGAGCCATTTTCTAATGGAAAGAGTTAACAAGACTGGGGATCAGTTAATGAGGACACTATCTTGATGGAGAAAGCATTTTGAAAATTCTAGTTCCACTAAAGCAGGCATTTTCGAGTGATGGAAGCTAACTTCTTAAAGCATTTCAGCATTCAGATTGCTGGTATGCATGTAGTCTAACTCAGACAATGCCTTGAGAGTAGATGCTGTGGCTCCTGAGGCCCTGGTCTGAGTCTCTTCTTTGATTTTGTGGAAATTAGATCTGTAGAAAAAAGAAGCTGCTTTCCCTTCGCCCCTCATTAATTCTTAACGCTGCTTGACTCCAGGCTCTACCAGACAATTATGTGGCTGAAGAAATGCATTATTTGCTGAATCACTTTTCATTAATCCCACCCCCTATATGCCAGTACCATGCTAAGTAACTCAGGAGACATAAGATTTTAAGACATGGTCCTAGCCTTTAACATATCTTTAGGGAGATGCTATAGAATCAGAGGGTCTATAAAATAAGATTGTATGAGAGAGAGAGAGAGAGAGAGAGAGAGAGAGAGAGAGAGAGAGAAGGGATAGAGAGAGAGAGAGAGAGAGAGAGAGAGAAAGAAGAGAGATTGTCAGAGCCAGAAGTGGTGGA